TATAATACACGTACCTATATGAATGAACGATCGGCAGGTAAATCTCGGCCTGGTTAATGGAAATCGGAATGAACCAAAACCAATATTGCGTTTGGGTGGTCCGACAATCACTTGTAGCGAGCTCACGCGCGTAACACTCGCACACGCGCACCGGATCGGAGACACGGACGGACGCGGACAGACAGACACATACACACACACACACACTGGCCACTATAAGAAGGGGTACATATTATTATACATTACATTATACCGAAGCTATATATAATATAATATTATACAGTATTTCGTTGTATATGTTTCATGTGTGTGTGTCCGAGCCGATACCGTTTGACCGTATCTAAGTACGTCGTCGTCGTCGGATACCTCCGCCGTAGTGGTCGTGGTATTCGGATTCGAGACCTCTAGAAACCGTCTAAACCACACATTAATAATAATTATACTCGCAGTCGCTCTCAATGGGTCGAGCATGCTCAAGTGCTGCGCGCGCGTTCACCAAACATCTATATATATTAAGCATTACATCATGGTGTGCGCGTGGTTCGTACGTAGACGGCGTTTTATGGCGTTTATATTCACGCGGTCGAACAAAAAATTTTCAAAAATTTTAATTACATTTTTCGAGGTCTTCTACCGGAATATCGTCTCGGAACGTCGGGACACAGATCTTCAGATATAGTATAGTACCTATCTACGTCATATAATATAAATGTCCGATCGCGAAACGAAAAAAAAATCTCATTGGTATCGAGTCTGGTATCCGCAGTAGCTTGAACAATTATTATTAACTTCCTCGGCGACCCCCATGGTTTTTTTCTCCTATATTAATTCGATGCTGACCAAATTGATTCTGTTTCTCACACAGCATATAACAGAACCTATCAGAAGTCTTTTTTCGTTTATTTTCCTTGCCACCATCATTAGCATACCCAGGTACGTCGTACCTATATATTAAACACTACTGCAGGTTGTTTCATCCCGACACGTAAACGCGTGGATTAATTTTTTTTTTACCCTTATAGGTACAATTTTATTTATTTTTATTAAAATCGAAATCAACGTCAGTCGTAGTACCTACCTATATATATAGGAATCTATAGTGTCCTCATCATTCGTCGTGTGACAATTGGACGGCCTTAAAATAGATTTTTTGGTCAGATTCTTAATAGGTATAACAGTATATATAGGTATATAGTCACTGGCAGACGATTTTATTTTGTACGGCCATGGCGTTTCGTTGGGCTCCGATGTTTTGATATGATTTATCATCATTAAAATATTGTGGTAATAGGTACATAATATATATAATAGGTTGCAGCCATGCAGCAACAAACTCTGAAAATGGCCCAGAAAAATCAGCAATGATTTGACACTAATTTTTTGGAATCGGACTACTTGCTGGTGATGCTTGTACCAAATTTGAAACCTCTCTGGAGGGGTTGGAAGCGACAGGAGACAATGAAAAATCAGGCATACGAATGACGAATATCAACATATTTTGATATTATTTTTGCATTTATTGTAGTGTGCTTGCGCAAATAGTGCACTGCATGTTAATTACTTTAGTTTGTTGATTTGTTACAAGGTAAATAGTAATTAAAATAATTATAAATTATTTATGTAGTTTTAAATTAACGCTATATAATAAACAAAAACAAATAATAACACGGAAGTTTCCATTTACAGAACAAAATGACATTTCCAGTTTGTTTCGCAAAATCATATTTTATGGCGAGAAATAAAATAAAATTGGCTTCTATATTATATTATATACTATATAGCCATATAGGTAAGGCGTATAAAATATGCATTATAACTTAGGGCCATTACGTTTTAATTTTCAATCATGAAAAGTATTAAAAAGTTTTGCAACTATTTGATATTTACTTATTTTAAAGTCATTGCAAAAGAATATTTTTTGGAAAAAAATTATGTTTTACTATTTTTATTGTTTTCATTTTTACAGTAGGCATAATTATACCTGCCTACATCCATTATTGTTTAAATTTTCTGAAAAATGTAAATCGGGATTTGGTGTAACCAGACAATTTAAGTTAAAACCTTTAAATCTTCTAGTTAGGTAATTTTTATACATTTATATTTTAAAAATCATGAATGTGCGTCTAGAACTCTAGAAGATAACTTCTTTACAAAAATATACGCGTACGGCAATTTCAAAATATTATACTTAGGAAACGATCACCAGCCGTCGCACGTCCCGTTTAGCCCGATCGTCAATGGAATAAGCATTAATCACTATATTATATTGTAATATTCGATTTCCGAACGGCGATTAGATATATTTACCGTCGCTTACATTTCTACAGGTATAATATAGGTATTAGGTATTGTAATATTATCCGTATAATATATGCACACGTATAATATGATGATGATTTGGACGTTCGACAAATGTCGTCGTTACCGTTTGCCTACTATGTAGTTACATTAAACGAACTCGTTTGTAACCTCACAGTGCACGCCTCGGCTACTCGATATTCGTATCTAAGGCTATTATAGGCGAACACGTTTATTATAGGTACGAGTTTATTATTATAATATATTATCATTTGTATAATAGTAAAATATATTATAATATATGACGCACATTCGTTTAGTCGGCTTGTCTAATTTAGGCATTCACAAACTGTAAAACTGCAACGATGAATAATATAACTATTGCGATTCACTACATTATACGCAGTATCTACCTATTATTATAGAGTTTCGTTTGCAAAGGTTAATGGAAAAAATAACTTTATAGTTAGCTAAATCAGTGAAGTTATAAGTTAATATGGATGCCCGAGGGTGGCGAAAGTCTAAATATATATACGTAAGTAAAATATACTATAATATATCTAGGTACTATATATACTTGTAGTATATACCATACCTTACGTTTACACATAATATTATATATTTATTTTATCTTCGTATAATGATTATAAACGTTCACTGCTCCTTGATCATCGTTTAAACAATGGTTTTGCATTTTTAATCGCGAGTAAACACAAACAACTACGCGAGTACCTACGTTGTCTTTAACCTACGTATACCTACCTTTATATATATATATATATATACTTGGGTATAGCAATAGCACCATTATTATATTGTATTATATATGCAAGCGTTCCTGTTGGCCGAATAATATAATAATAATTGTATTCATTTGTGCATTGTGATTTAATGGTGGAAAATAAAATGAAACGCTGTGTACGTGTTTAATAATAATGTGTCCTAAAAATGTCATACATACGTCAAGAACCACGCAGCTGTGTAACACAGCAACTGCTCTACGCACGTTACACGACTCGGATGGGCCATAATAGTTCCACGAAGATATTAATTACTAATATATATAATATTATATTATGTACATACCACGAGATGTTTAATAATAATACTGAATACCACACAATACATTGTAAGGTAAACTGCAAAGTGCACAAACAACAGACAACGTTCTTCACCAATATCACGGCCCGCGAGCGTCACTCAAGGACTTAACTACATAACATACGACTCAACTGACCTATATAGGTACTATTATAAAGTTACTAAATTTTTGAAACTGTCCATTTGTAGTAATGCGCGTATTTCACCGAAGTCAATTCAAATAACAATCTATTTAATAGAACTCAGCAATCTGCTGTATTAAATTATGGGTGATCTATCCGGACGACAATGGCCTGTAGGAGATGCCATTTAAATTATTCGTAATTAGCGGTCTACGCATGCACTACCCTAACTACGGTGAAACTTACACAAGAGGTCAACCGCCAACCGGGGTAGGAAGAGAGGGTAATTTATATCTAGAAATAAGGTCAACAGACTTCCCCGGATAATTTATATCTGACAACGAGGTTAACCTCCTTTATAGTAAAACAGTATTCCGCGTGTTTGTTTCGCTATTGAAATGAAAATATTCAGACTTAAAAATAATAAACATTAATTTTAACCAAGCTAGTCATCGGGAAAATTCAAATACAATCAGAATATTATCGAAATTCTCTGAACGAAATTAAAATGTATATACTGTCATTTATAATGAGATTATAGGTACAGTATATAATATCATGTATATCATGCATAATTTCATGACTTCGGTTAAGTGAAAATTGTAATTTATAGTATAATATAATGAATAATATATTGTATCCTATAGATATAGAAAGGCAACTACCTACTATAACACATCTGTGAATATAGGTACGCATATGTATATATATTTTTATTAAAATATAATTTCAATCTACACATAATTAAGTACAATAAGTAATTTTGATTTAGGTTACAATATATATTATATATACATAGCGAGACTGACAGATTGAGAGAGCACTCAGTAGTACCACCCGACAAGGTACGCATATTATAAAATATAGTGTATTATGTAGATGTATATTATACAATATACGTTAACGAATCAGCAGTGCCAAGTAAAATATTTAATTAAGATATAATAATATCATTAATTATTCTATGAAATATGATACTTGTTCGAGTATCTTATAACAGCAGGTACATACAAGATTTTTAAATTTGTGACGGATTTACTAATTTAATGTCATTACATTTCATTCTTGCACATGTGCAATTTGTCCTTGAATTCATCATGCTTATTGTGATTTTATTAACAACGTACTATATACATTTTTTTCATGGTTCTTTAATCAGGTAAAATCTTAATGATAATGTCTTGTTTCGGTTCTATTATACACGTATCTATTTGTTGTCTGAGTTAGATATACAGATTCGTTAATAATCATTAATTAATTTACAAAATGACGACTTTAATTTCAATTAAATTACCCTTTTATAATACAGAATATATAATATTGATAAACATCAACATCATAACGATAATGAAAATCGTGACGTACCCAACTCAGTTGTGTAAGATGAATAGATAATTAATAACTATAATATAATATGGAACAGTTGCACCAGTGCGTTTGTGGGAGGGGGGAGGAATTATTTATCTCAAAAAAAAAAACACTTACCGGAAGAAGGGCGATCCGAGTATCTTGTGCAGTACACCCAGGCCGGCCACTGTTGAGAGCCCTCTTTGTCAGCGACCGCATTGATGGACGCGTCCACGGAACCATTGGTAGTAGTGGTGTGGGTGGTGTTGGTGGTGCTGTTGGCAGCGGCTGTGGCGACGGCGGTGGGGCTGACGGTTGTCGAGTTAGCGGTCGCGGCGGGGTTGACATAGGTTTGAGAGTCGGAACACGACAGATCGATGGGTGAACTGAGTGGTTCGGCTGTGGACGACGACGAAGACCGTCTGCTGCTATTGGATTTCTCGTGATCCGACGACGCCGGGCCGGCGGCGTCATTGATGGCCGTCGCGGCCGCGCGGACCGCTGTGTTAGCGCTGGCAGCGGCCGCGGCATTGTGACTGAGTTGGTTGAGATGGTGAAGTTGATAGTTTAGGTGGTTCAGACGGTCGATGTGGTTGAGGTGTTGTTGTTGTTGTTGTTGCTGGAGATGGTGATGATGGGGGTGGTAGTGTCTGTGATGGTGGTCGTACGGGTTGAATACCGTCGGAGGACTGCCACCGGACGTGACCAAGCTTCCGGTGCCACCGCCGAATTCCGGTCGCAATATGTTATCTATGCTGAACTTCAACGGACGTTCGGCCGAACCGTTCAAACGGCCACCGGAAGTGGGCTGCACTCGGTCGTCGTTGTATTCGGTAGCCGAACCGTCGTCGCGACCAGACTTGCCGATCGATTGGTCGCCCCCGCCCCCGCTGTTCCGGCGGTGCAGTTCCATTGCCTGCATGGCCGCCGCCCCTGCGCACACGCTCTGCTGCAGACAGTTGGTCATCATCATCATGTGCAACGCGTGTGTAATGCGGCCCGTCTGGCTGTCCACCTGTTCCCACTTGTCCGTTTGTATGTTTGTTCACTAACTTGAAACGGCGCCACTATAAGCTTATGCGTGCCTTATCTTCCGACCGCTGACCAGCGACAGCGACAACAACTGCAACGGCAAGTCGGGTGCATCACTCGTCGTTGCGTTGAATCGATGGTCCACTGAAACAACAAAATGAGAACGTTAAATATTGGTGAGCACTAAGGTTAAACCTAAAGGTAAGTACCTAACTGAAAGTATATAATATTAAACTTATAAATATATATATTTAATAGTGAGTTATGCCTTTTCCCCCGATTGTCACGTTATTATAATATACAGGTACTGACATCAACTGTGCAGTGTATATGCACTGCAGACGGAACTTAAGGTGGGCGCAGGGTAAATTAGCCGATTGATACATTCAGTTTCACGATTTAGTTTTTCGTCCAAAGTAGGTATAGGTACCTGTTAGAACTTCTACCCTGTACCTACTAAAAAGAAAGAAGAACCAATTCAAAAGTCAATATTAGTAGAACACACGGCGTTAAACTGCACTGCACTAATGCACTACCGAAGATCAAATCCAATTGGTCCACCTACAATGACAGAAAGTGTGCTGTAGTGGAGATATATATATATAGGCTGGCACACGCTCAAGGACGATGTATTTTATACAACATCGAAAGCAGCTGCTGTAATTTTAATATGTTAGTGCATATTATATTATATTTGGTCAAATACTCTTGTTATATGAACAATAATTCCGATTTTGTTGATTTTATCAACCAAAAGTAGGTACAATATATTTTTTATATTACAAAAATTGCACAAATAATTTGTCGAAAATTGCATAAAATTATATAAAATCTATAGCTCGTTATATTTATATTATATAAACGTTGGTGTTAATATATTTATCTATCTTTGCACATATATGCATAATGTTTAATTGCGTTTGAGTGACAATAATCCATATCAAACAGATCCGTTTTAATTTGTAATTACCATTTTGAAAAATATGGTGTAAAATGCCATTATTTGGTCACTAACTTAGTCATAATATATCTCATAAGATGTGTATTGTGTATTATATATTTTGTCTTCCAGGTGATAAATATGAAAGTACCTATTACCTATTAATGTTATAAATGAATAAGTTAACTACAGCGAAAAGACTTATCAAGTTTTCTTATACGTTTGTATCGACGTTAAAAACACACTCAGTTGGGTGGGTTACGGGCAGGCAGGTGCAGCAGTGCATTACATTTAAAAACTATCGACGAATTAACACGTTTTATATTTATTTTCTGTTTATACTTTATATACTGTTTTTGAATTTTCGATTTTATAGTACTATATTATATTACTGTGGACTGTAAAAAAAACTTTAAAAATTACCCTTGGCGCATACAATTTAGTAACTCAAAAACTATTAGCTAATTTTAGTTATGATTTATATGCATCAATAATATAAAAAACAAAAATCATGTGCTTACATGTATAAGGAAAATGGATGGTTTTCATTTGAAACAAGAATAGCTTCATCACAGGTCACTTCTTAAATAATTAAAAACATTTAAGTATTTTAATTTATACTTTTAAAATACAGGTAGGTATATCAATATATTCCTCGAATCAAAATTTGAATAAATGCATTATTAAAGGATACAATATGATCAATAGCGAGGTCACCGTGAATCGCTCTACATAATTATTTTATTAGTTATCTCATAATGTAGTACTGCTGCTAGGAGTAGGAACTAGGAATAGGTGAAGGATACAATTATCTTCACCATTCATGTCTTTATAAATTCGAAATAGCCTATTTAACCTGTGCAGGCTGTAACAGTATATTAAATATTCGGTGAGTGCGGTGAAATTTAAAACCATATATATATATAGGTAATCGTAATCACAAACATTTATTTTCGTTTGAATAGGATATACATAATGGATACAGTGTTTTACACAGAGCTAATAACAACGGTAGATATTATGTAACGTGTCATCATCTATTTTGAATTCTCTAGTAGTTAGGTAAGTATCTAATTAGTTGATTAAATTCCATTTCGGCGTTTAAGTGCCCCACGCCCACACCGTTGTTAACGATAATGTCCATTAATTGTGTAGGTACCTATATTACACCTAAAAAATTATAACACATATTTAAACGATGCTTGTACGTATACAATAAACATATTGGTAGGTCTTATTACGTTATTATAGTATTTGGCACGCATTTTTTTTTTTAATTTTGTGGCGCCCACGTCGACGTTGTCACGGACGTCACCACGGTATTAGGCATATCATATATTATGCAGTGCTGATTTTTATCAATTTTTTTTCGACGGACCTCACAGTTAGTATCAAGATAATTATTGTAATTAATACATAAAAGCGAAAACACGCTCTGTCATCGCACTTGCTTAGTTGGCACCTTGTAAGAGTAGGGTTTTATAATTTAACAAAAAAATGCAAATTTATTTATTTATTATCAACTATAAAATGTATACGATTTGTAGGTATTAAGTGGAAATTATAAACACATACAATAGAAACTTATAACTCTAATTTGTGACTTTATTAAGAAAAAAATATACAGTGGAATAATTGTGTTCAAATAATAATAAGTTCCGTAAAAATACCGAGTACGACGTTATCGCAGAATAGTATTTATAATGTTATAGTTACCTACTTAATTTAGATTTTCAATCACAATATATCGTAAACGGCTTCAACTTTAAGTAGTTATATACTTTAAATATGATTTGTTTTGTAGTTTCTCCCCGTTAATTTGTAAGTATAGGTACTTATATAGAAGTCGTATGAAATGTAATTTTTTTCCAGGTATTATAACGTTTGTGTACGAGTACTTAAATATTATTATACTTTATAATTTCTAATGTAAATTTTGAGTTGTCATTTTATCGATCGGAAATAATTGTTTGATATCATTACAATACATAATAATGGTACTCAGTTTTTTGAGACCGTTAGATATGTCTCAACCTCAGCTGTGACTAAAAATATATCCTAATAGATTAGTAAGATGTGAAAAAAAGTTAAATCTACCTATCTAATGTATTTTTTTTATTACGGTCGACGTAGGCAATAAAAGCAATAAACGCTAAACGGGTCAACGGTTTTTCATGCTTACTATTACTTATGAAACTTATTGTATGCATTTACAATGATTTCGACTGAAGGATCCCTATAATGTGCACCGGGCCCCCGAAACGGCGGAGGGTCCTCTTACGCATAAAAACACGTTTGAGATAAATTCTGTCACAGCACAAATTAGACGCACAAGCCTCACTGACAATAGAAGCCGACATTGCACAGGAACCTGGGCCGGCTTCAAAGGGTAGGCTAGATGTGGTCTTCGCGAGGCGTTGGGCGGGATTTTAAATTTTGATTTATGGAATAAAATATCCGAGGGGACGCATGACGACATTGTTATGTTTGCAAAGGTGTGTTTAAATATCGGGCTATATAAATACAAAATATTATATAGAGCACAACCCTATAACACCTATGATATTATTATTGGTGAATTGGCAAACGTTATTACTATCATAATTTATCATATAAGTGCCATTAAGTGAGATAATGAAATATTTACCTATATATATTTATCTGCTTGTATATTGCTGATAAATGTGTCATATATTTGAAAAATATACGTAGGTACATCAATTTATTTCAAACAGATTAATTGTAATATTTTTATATTCTAAAAAACGGGTGTGGCATCTTCTTAGGTTCTATCCATAACATATACAATACATACAACTTAATAAAACCCGCAATGGAATGTATCAACGATCAATAAAATTAAATAATAAACTAAATTTATTACATATTGCAACGCTCATTTGCTGCAGAGTGCAGGTATATTATTGTAATATTATATGACCACCGATTACCTATAGATAAAGTTATATTTATGTTATCGATAAAATCGGGATATCATATCGTTTCTCCCACGATTTCTATATTGCATGCATGGTAATAATAATATAAAACATTTAAGTAATATTGTTACATTAATAGATTATGTTGACATGTGGTATATACGTGTTAGGACGAGGTAAACAAACGTGAGAGGCACGAGCATCACAACTGTTATATTATAATAACTGAATTTATAAAGTAATAATACCGTAATGGGTTTTAATATTTTGAAAATAATTATAACTCAAAGTTTCAAAGGCGTTCGCTCTTCGCTGTCAAAATCGTCGAATATAAAACGTATTATATACACCTATGTAATTTGCACATGATTATACTTGCCAGACACGGTGAGCTTAGGAAAGTTAAGTAAATAAAAAATATTAAACCACTTTGGTTGAAATTGTTAGTAATGCGCTTGTTATTGAAATTTCGTACAGTATTCATGTATAAAAAATTATAATTAATAATTGATAGGTGGGTATACCTACCTAAAATATAAATAGTTACAGTGTATGTAACCTGTATATCCAAAAACGCACAAAAAGTAAATTTCAGGGAAAAAGTACAATAATTGTAAATTATAAATATGTGGTTAAAACGTTATGCTGTAATTTAAGAAAATGTAATATAATCACATATCATAGGTACCTAATTTTTTTGTGATTTTTTATAAACATATTTCAATGATAATAATATATGGTGATATATTATTGTACATTATTGCTTTGATCTGTAAAACTAAGTCGGTTGATATTACTTGTTCGCCGATCATATGCTAGTGTGCATGTATGAGAAGTGTGGTCAAATGTCTCATTAACTTTTTATAACTGACAATAGTTTTACTATAGAATGTACAAAAAAAGTGCAGTGGGAACTTTTTAGCTGCTGCATTTTTGGAATCGAGTTTTTTTTTATAAAGTACCTACTTTATAAAAAAAAACTCGATTGTGTGTGTATATGTATATATATATATATATATTCTATATGTGCCTATACATATTATTATAGAAACTATATTATAG